ACACACACACACACACACACACACACACACACACACACACACACACAAAAATGTATACATATAGGCCTGTTATCACTTCTGTTCTCACAGGGAGAAAAATGTCAATGTTAAAGAAAACACGCGATGAAAGACACAGTTTTTGATTATAGGCTGTGTGCATTTTTCCGTAGATTGAGCGTTTTGAGACTTTCACAGTATTTATAAAGCACCTAGAACTGCTTTATGATCAAAAAAGACATGGAAATCTCACTTTCTACAACATGGGACGTTTAAATTCTGCTGAAACTGGTCTCTTAATGTAACAAAATCATAGTGTAATCAACTTTTGCATCTCACCCAATCAGACTCTCGTCTCCCAGCTGACTGCCCCCCTCCTGCATGGTCTGGGACAGCGTCGTCAGCGGCAACCTTTTCTGCAAACAGACCAGCAAACAAAGTTTAGTACAGCTAAATACCCAAACAATAACCCAATTATTAGCTGCAAGCATGTCAAAAGAAAAAAAAAAGTGATGTAAAAAATAAGACAAAGTAACATAAACCACTTTGCCAGTTGTATTGTGTGTGTGGCGGAGGTAGGTTTGTTATGCTGTGATAGGGAAGCTGGCTAGAGGCCAGTGCTGAATATTTTTCCCCTGAGTGTCTCTCATATCAATGTGTTGCATAAGATGTGTTCATAGCACAAGATAGCAGGGCCTTGCTAATACTGACAACAATGTCAGAGGGATCCACCCTTATTTCATTTCTGTATGAACAGTGATTCTTACAGCAAAATGGAAAAGCTTTACATAGAGATCCTGACTATGTAGCATGTTGCTAACATGCTGAGATGATAAGATGAGGTGACGGCAGGCCTGCTCAAAGTTGCTAGTATCTACAAAGTGCAGCTGCTGAATGAAAGAACAGTCACGAGACACCGAGTGCTTCTTACATGTCTCTTCTCTGTGTCTGTGCCCAGTTGACCCTGCAGACAGGACACCAGCCTCTTGTGCGTGTTGTGCGACATCAAACGCACCAACTCCAATCGCCGCTCGATCTGTGCGTGCACATAAGAAACAAAATGTTAGAATATCAGAACAAACAAAACAGGCACACATCCATCTTTAAACTATCCATTCTTGAGAAAGATTTTTGAAAGATGATGGGGGATGTCGATGCTGTTTTTTCTAGCTCTACTCTGCAGCGTGCAGTGTTACTACAGGCAGCACTGACATCCAGATGGAGGGAATCACGGCAGCTAAGTAGCACAGACTGATGGATTGTGGTCTTTACTGCGAAAGACCAGAGAGAGCTGTCTTGACATGCGAGGACTCCATGCAGAGATATTATCAGGGAAAACAGATAATCGTTCTGACTGCGGGCCTGATCTATTGGCTGTACTTCATGAGCAGTAAAGTAGAATGTTTCAAAAACTTGTGCATTACAATAGGAGTGGGCGAAACGTATAAAGTTCTTCATAAAACAATTAAGATCAAATAAGAATAAAGAGTCTGTTTACTGCTGAAAAACACTGTTTCCAAGGGATTGAAAATCAATCCCAAATTACTAAAGAATTCTGATGTCTTGAATTTTGTTGCAATGAAAAGGTTTCTTTTGGCATATAACTCTGTGATCCCAGATACCAGAGTGTCCTTGAATGTACCACATGTGAGAGTTTTCAGTTCCTGCTCGCAGCTTTAATACCATGTGATAATAACTTAACTCTGACAAGTCTCAAGTTTCAAGCAACTGCTGGTGAAGTTACTGAAATGAACTGAAGCCAGTGGCTGAATGGAAGGTTTAAATGGAAGGTTAATAACTACGGTATGCTATGGAAAATGGTCAGCAGTAATGTTGAGTGGACAAAATTCAGTGCGCTAAAGCATGCAAAACACTAGTGTCTTTAAGTATCCACTTCCTCTTCCTGTTTCAGTGTAAACATCCAGCTGTGTCACTACATCTGAGGCCCCTCATTTGCTGTCTGATCCCCATCTAATGCTCACTCTTTTTCCTTTACTTTTATCCTCGCTAATTTGCCGTTCTCTTTATGGCATGCGAGTCTCTCTCTCTTTCTCTCTCTCTCTCGCACACACTTTTCCTCCTACCTCTCCCTTTACTCTCTCCTCCCTCTTTCCTGCAGCTGTTGCTCCATGCCAGACCACAGCTGGATTTGGCTTCCTTGCCCTGATCCTATTGATTCGCTCACCATTCAGCTGATCCTCAGCTCTGATTAATGCATGGATGTCTGACTCTATCTGGTGCCAGATCGATTGGATCCAGACCTCCACCACTCGAAGCCAAGAGGGAAAGAAAGAGGCCTGACTGGATACAATGGCTGATCGCATCGTCTCTGCAGAGTTTTCCATGAATGTACACCAAAAGACCCTCAAGAGACACACACCGATGCCGAAAATATCATGTCTCCGATATTGAATTGCGGTCCGTTTTGCACCATTTACATTTAAATGGTCTCAAATAATTAATTGTCTGCGTCTTATACCTACTGTTACTCTTACAACCTTGTTTTAACATTTTGACAACAACAGTCTTTACTTTCAACTTGCCTCTTAACGTCTCATTCAGCCAGCTTTACTGAGCTCATAAGAAGAGATCTGGCCTCGGGGGAGAAACTCAATTTTGGAAGCAGACACACTCACTCACACTCATTCACACTCACTCACACTCACTCACACTCACTCACACTCACTCACACTCACTCACACTCACTCACACTCACTCACACTCACTCACACTCACTCACACTCACTCACTCACACACAAAATAAAAGCAGGAAAACTCCCAGATCATAGGCACAGACAAGCGCACACGATCCCCTTCCGGCTGCCTCTACAGTTTATGGAGCTGTCCAAAGGTTTACAGGACAGTTACTACCATCTTTTTTTGTCTTCATACAGCAATGAAAACAGTGAACAAAGCGAGCTGGCGACCTCTGACCTGCTACAGCAAAAAAATGTGGAACGTTTAGTGAGTCACAGAGGAACCGGGAGGGTGGATATAGTTTTGTTTTTGAGTTGCTTTGGTGGTCTGGATAGCTGGTGAACTGATGTGCTGGCTGACCTTGTTGGCAGGATGGCTAACTGTCTGGTTAGCTGATGACAGAGCAGAAACAGGATCCCTGAAGAGTCATGCTTGCTTAGAGGAATGGTTAAACTTTTTGGGAAATACACTCATTCTCCGTTGAGTCAGATGAGCGGATTGACACCACGCTCATGTCTGTCCGTTAAATATGAAGCTGCGGCCTGCAACTGGTTAGCTTAGCATAGCATAGCATAGCATAACAACTGGAAAAGGGGAAAACAGCTAGCCTGGCACAGTCTGAAGGTGACACAATCTGCCTTCCAGCTCCTAGATCAATAAATAGCACATTATATCTCATTTGCTTAATCTGTTTAAAAACCAAAATGTAAAAACAACAATTTGCCATTTTAGAGAGTTAACTGCGACCGGCCAAGAAATAGTCCAGCACATTACATTCTGTAAAATCGCAACTTTTCAATGTTACGCTTCGGTTTTTGTGCTGATTAAACAAGCAATATACAAGATGTTAAATAGTAAGCTCTGGAGGTGCTGGTTGACAGATTGTATCACCTTCGGGCAGAGCCAAGTTACCCGTTTCCCACCCCCCCCATTTCCAGTGTATTTCCCAAAATGACAAACTCGTCCTTTAACAGAACGAGCCGGTGTTCTCAATGACAACGAAAGCTGTAGTTGTCAGCTTAGCTCACTAGCTGGTTAGCTGACAGATACCTGCTGAACATATCAGATATGAATATAGCTCCAGTATCAACAGCCTATTGTGTATCCAAAGTTGTAATGAAATACTGAGCTATGGGACCAGTTCCAGCCGAACACTCTACTGTATGAGAGCCTCCTCAACTCTTCCACTGAGGCAGGACGCGTCCAAACATGACAAATGCCTGGGCCAATGCAAAGGACTATTGGAAAAAAATGAAAAAAGAAAAGACTACTACGAGACCTAGTAAATCATAGAGTCAAATTTCAAGTTGGACGGTTGAGAGGAGGGGGTGTGGGAATGTTTTGGAGAGTGGGAAAGAAAAAAAATGACTCTTTCTCTGCCCGTGTTTGGAAAGAGGGAAACATTTTCCCAGCTAGTGTGATTTAATTAAAATGCCGATACTGATTCACTGGTCTACGAATCAGTAAACCGCGAACTACACACTTTATCTGCATGATCGTAATCAGGTTGCAGACTCTGACTTGGAGCTCAAGTCGTTATGCCCGACGACATCCAAGCCACTTCCGACAATGCTGACACTTGGACACAGACACATTCCTCACAGAGAGCTGGAGCTGAAGGAATGTCTAACGCGGCACAAAGCTCCCGTCGTTCAGAACGAGGACCAAAGAAAGCATTCTCTGACAGGGTTGGGTCGGTTTGTGTTCTTGAGACAATGGTGTGTGTAATGTAATGTAATGTAATATATATAAAAAAAATTTAACTATTACCACTGTTAAAGCAAAAATACAAGTTGTCTTGATTACAGCAAAACAACAGTGTATATACTGTATCTGCTTATTAAATAGAGAAATAATCACTTTTCCCACCACCAAGCGTTTGTCTTGTTTGTTACTGTGTGCAAACCACATGAGGTTCATAGTTCACTGCATGTCATAAAACTTTGACTCTCATGATTGAATGAGACGCTTCAGACTTCACCTTCCACAAAAGCTCCTTTCTACTGTAAACATGCTCCGTCTTTTTCAGCCTCTTGTATTTCTTCAAAACTCTTTTCCTCGCAGTGATCTAACAGTTTCACATGCCAGAGTACTCCCATCCCCCAACACACACACACACACACACACACACACACACACACACACACACACA